TCTCCTATTCACTGAAAAAACCTAAAACCTTTAGGCTCCGCATGAATATGAAAAAAGTTTCTGCTGGTTTAAGGAATCTATTCATTAAAGTTAATACAGCTTTTAAAATCAATAGCACCTTTTTTAGGCTTGTGCAGAAACCTGAACAAAAAATCAACCTACTTTAATAAATAGCAGAGAGATGCTATGTTTGCACAAGATCTAAACCACTTCTTCCAAATCATTTTTCAAGCATATACAGCCTTAATAGTTTGAATGAAACATGATTGAGCAGCTAGCTTTGCCAGGTTTTTGTACAGCAAAAAAATTATAAAACAAAACTTGAATATGTCCAGCTGCCAGCTATTTGCCACAACTCTCCAAGGTCCATACCCCTGTAGAAGTTTTATTTTCAGATTTTTCAGCTGTAAAATTGTCAAAGACATACAGAGGGATGTTGCATAGCCATACCAGCAGTTTCTAGGGAGCTATGTCATCGTAAAACTATGGCAAAGGATAAAGATTGTATCTGCATCCAATATCCAGGTCTGTTTGTGTCTCATCTGTTCATTACATTGAAAATTGAGTTGGTTCTGTGTTTTGATTCAGAGTTTGAAATTTAAAAAAAAATTGTTTTGATTTCTGGAGAGAATATTCTTTCATTTTTATCCCTCTCTAGCATGTATAACCACAGGAAGACCACAAGAAATGGGGGATTGGTAGCAGTAATGGTAAAAGAGAAATATTCTCCATTACTAGATGAAACTATACAAACTCAGCATTATTTCCTTCCTGGTCTCGTCCCTCCCTGAAAATACCTTTAAATAGTGACATATTCAATCAAAAACCAGGGCAACTGTCCAGCCAAGGACAGCTAATAAGGTTAGGTCCCTGAGGCAAAGTTGAGCCTCTACCCCCATAAAATTCTCCATAGCAATGCAAAAAAAACCCAGAAATAAAAACAGCTTCCTTCATTTCACCCCACATCTTAGGAAAAGCTCTTTTAGGATGCCTCATCTGTCCACTGTTTATTTCTTTTCAAAAACATTTAAATTGCCATCAGCTGAAAGTGTCTCAATTTCTAAAGACACAAGAGACTTGTTAGGTGGGTTGGAAGGAGAGACATTATGGCAGCATTTTACCATCATGAAAAGACAAAACAAATTAACAGAACATTTTTATCTATAATTGTATTTCTTTGTATGCTCCATGGATACCTTAGAAAAGAACAATTGTATCTAAAATGTTCTTGGGTATTACGACTTTTGCTGAGGCTGAAAACTACTGAAGCTTCTGTTTTATGATGCTGT